CTCTGGGTTCAGCTGCAGAACTGCCTGAAGCAATCACTGCATCTGAATCACTGCAAGTACTGCATCTGAATCAGACAGTTCACTTTTCTCAGATATTCCTTACTAAATGGCCCAGATAAAATCAACTGTTTTTGAGAAGCTAAGTGTATCTCCGCTTACAAGTACAGAAGAAAGAAAAGTGAAAGACCTTATTAACAGACAGGAAGAATTTTGTTGCCAATCAATTCATGCTGCTGCAAATCTGTTGGATGCAAGATTCAAAGGTAGAAATGCTAGTGATGATAGTAGCACTGCTACTGCATTTGACTGGATTACAAAACGAGCAACACACATAGGACTTGATGTTGGAAAGGTACTTTCAAATGTTGCAGAATACAGAACATCTTCAGGTATTTGGTCCAGGAAGGCAGTCTAGGACTCTGCCAAGCATATCCCTCCTGCAGCATGGTGGAAGGTCTTTCCATGACACAGCCTCTGACTCCTCTTGCTTCTCACCTGCTTCAGATTCCTCCATCTTCTGTAGCATGTGAAAGAAACTGGTCTATGTTTGGAAATACTCACACCAAATCAAGAAATAAACTAACGTGTGAAAGAGTAGAGGAGCTTGTTTCAATCCAGGCAAACCTGAAGTTTTCAGAAGTCCATGAAGATGATAAAAAAATGAAGCAGAAACTGTTGATAGTGATAGCTCAGAAAATGAGACTGATTAGACAAAGTTTCATGTAGCAAAAATTGTATTCAGTGAGTCTTGGGGGTTTTTTTCCCCTTTTTTCTCAGCTCTTTTTCTAAAAATGAGTGCTTTCTGTATCTGCTTGACACTGTGGAGGAAACTAAGTCCAGAATACATAATAACATTCTTTGTTTTACCATAATGTTCATGGTTTCTTCTATTTTCAACTTTAATTTTTGCCTGCTTTTCATAAACTGGGAAAAACTCAGAGATGCTAGTTTCCTTAGAGTTCAGCAGCTTATAGCTCCATTTGTAACAAAAATTTAAAAAAAATTAAAGTAAATTAAATTAGTACATTTGTAATTGTCTGAATATACTATACTTTTAAATGTAATAAATATACCAAACATGATCATTTTATGAGCAAACCAAGTTATACATAATACATTTTATGTTCTTAAAGTAGTAAAGTGAATTTAGATCTGTAAATGGGTGCTAAGAAAAAAAAGTATTTCATATATTTCAATTTTTCCTAAAATTTAAATCCCCCGCACCCCAAAAAGGAGGGGAGGGACTTTTTTTTTCCCATGGCTTCAACATTTTTGGAAATGTTACATCTCTAGGTGGGAGGAGCCAGTGGGGAAGGTGGGGTGCTTGGAGTGTTTCCACTAAGATATAGCCTAGAATGGCTGTGCCTTAGTGTAATATGAGCTGCGTAATATAGATCAGAGATAATCCTGCCCTGGAGTGGCATATCTTTGAGCCACCAAAAGAGTACTTAAAACTAGTTTCAGGTGTTAACGTGCAGACAATCCAGGTATTAAGAGCTTCATGAGTTGCCCAAAATTACGCTGTAACAAGGCCCTAAATATTTTTGCAAGTGGTACTTGGCTTGCTCAGTGGCTATAATAACTGTCATTTGTAATTGTCATTCCAACTGGCAATAGGTTTAATGTTTGTTTGGCAATTGTGGTGTTGTAATTGGTATAAAATAAACATAATATTTTAGTTATATATATCTGCATTTTAAAGAATACAGTTAATGTTTCTCCCAATGTGAAGTATGAGCGTTAAGGTGAGAAATTAGAATATGAAGTGTGCCAGTGGTAAAACAGGATATAAGGAAAGCCACAGAAAGAATGAGGTGCAGGAGAAGCAGCAGCAAAGGAAAAATAAACCAGAGATGGATAGACTGAGGAGCCACAGGACATTTGAACAGGTAAGCCGGGAAAGCCTACAAGCATCCCACCATTTTTATGCCCGCACCACCCCATATAAGGCCAGGGAGGGGCGTGATGGTTATGGTATTTTTTTCTGCTTTTAAGAAGGCCTCTGTATTGCCCCAGAATTGCCCTGAAGATCAGCTCTGTGGTCTTACTCCATTACATCTGGATTGATGTGATGAGTAGAATTATGAACTGTTTGTCATACCTGTAAGGGGTCGAGTGGTATAACTTATTTTAGGATAGACACGCAGAGCTTTGAAGCAAGCTTTTTGTTTATTAAAAGGAAAAACTTAAACAGAGTATACTCACAAAATCCAATACAGCATGCTCAAGCCTTGTTACTTCTTATGCGCAATTTCTAAAGACACCCTTAAAGATGATGCCTGGAGCGGATCTGCTGCGCCGTCAGTCGTGCACTACCCGCAAAGCTTCCTAATTATCTGTTCCCGCAGCAGTACGCTTCTATGAGAACCTTAAGATCTGCCCACTTTGCTTAAATTTGGGGTCAAATTTATTCGCATCTAAGCAGAATTTAGGACCAAATTTAGATTAACCTTTACTGTGATTGGCCAAATGCAAGAACATTTTGTGGTTAGCATGGTAAATTGCTAGTTTCAATTTTGTACCGCATTGTGGTAAGATACCCTTTTCACCTCTGATCTAAAGAAGCTGATCTTCAGCCTTCTCAGGTAGTTGATATGGAGGGCGGAAAGAGAGAGGGGAAGAGAGAAGAGAAAAAAAAACACAAAACAAAACTCCCGGAAGAGTATAACCCAAGAGACCTCGCCGTCGCGGAGTTGTTTCTTTGTGGTTTGCCAGTACAGGTGTTTTATTGCTGTGACAATGTTGTGAACCATATGTTTCCCTGCCTCGGCGGCTCAGTAGCAACTGTGCAGTCAGAACACTCAGGTTTCTCTTTTGTCAAGTTTGTACCTTGCTCCTGTACTGTCAGCAAAACCGTAGGTATGGTTATCACACTGTTCCAGTAGGCTTCATTGCTTAAATTTAAGTTGATTCCCAAAGCTTATAGGAAAGTTTCTGGGAGTACAAAAGGCTCAGCATATATGGATGTTATAGTCAAAATGAGGGAATGTTTCTTAAGATGGAGAAATGGTGCAGGTTTCTCTATGATGAAGAAACGAAGTTAAGGCGCTCCTGGGTCATCCTCAGTGTTTTTTCCCAAGCATGATGGAGACTGAGGCATTGTAGTAAAGGGACAGGAATATATCATTGCAACAGGGTCCCTTAATCCCTGCTACTTACACTATAAGATGGCAGCATTAGAAGACTACAGTTTGATGTAGACAGCTGAGTTATAGCCAGCTGTTTCAGAGTAAGCAGCTTGGAGAGAGCCAAACAAATAAGCATTATAGTTCCCTATAACATAACAACTTGGGAGCTAGCCAGGCAGTAGACAGACAGGATAGAGCTCCAATTTAATGCAGATTAGCCAAATTTAAGGTGCATTAGGGGTGTGTGTCTACATGTATGCACCCTTGTGGCTTAAAAATGGTGATTTTAGGTATGTGGGCATTTGTACACGTGCATGCACTGCAGCACCAGGTGCTTTTAAAAGCAACCAGCACTGTGGCACATACATTTGAATAAATGGTGAAATGTGCATTGTTAGACCTCAACTTCATGCAACGCCCAATGACTAGGGAGACAACGGATTGATGCCATCATGCATCACCTGCATATATCGTTCATCAATAGCTTTATTCAAAATGGAGACAACTTCGGACTAGCTCCAACAAACGGGAGCCACTCTGAACATTAGTTCTTTCCACATTTATACACCTTGGTTCATGCTCATTAACATTTACTCCACCTCTGTCCTTCCTTTGTTCCACCCAATTCCCTCCTATCTCAAGCTCCACCTCTGTTTACTGTTTGTTTCATTAGCATGGAATGTGTGCATACCTATGCATTTCACTTATTTACATGTCTTTTTGCTATGAGCGCGTGCCTAAAACCATGACTCCGTCTTCTTTCGGTCATTTGTGGTTTTTGCTGATTTCTTCACCATCTCCAAGGTCTTGCTTCTGCTTTATCTCTAATGATAGCCAGTGGTCTGCATCCTGTTCTCCTTGTACAATGAGCTATATATCTTACAACACTACTACAATGTTAGGAAAATGCTTGCCTAAGTATCTTGCAATATTACTTTTAATATATCATTCTGCCTTGTGGTTAGCAGCTTTGATAGGCCACAGGTTATAGCCTTCTATTCAGCTGCAAATCTAATGCTCCCCAAGATCCAAATACAGTCACCTTAACATGTATCAGTGCTGAGAAAATGGCAGTGGCATGCTTTGGAACCAGAACACATTGACAGTGTTTTAGTTCAAAAGTGCAACACCACCATTTTCTGCATGCTGACATTCATTTCACCATTTCATCATTTATACAAATGCATGCGATGCAGTGCTGAGCATGCCAGCTCACGTACTTTGCAGACTCAATTAATTAAGTCTGCTCTGACACGCTGGATTTCTGGCATGTTGGAGCAGACAAAGGTACATGTATAAATGCTCTGTGAGCCTAAATGTTATACTTGCCCAAACCAAGTATCAAATTTAAGCAGGATTAGTTAATGAGGATTAATGCATGTGTAGACATGTTAATGTGCATTAACACAGGGACTTTAGTCCTAGGTCTGCCCAGCCACCAGTGGCCTGGCTGGAGCCCCACTGTGGGGCTCCTGGCTAGCACCCTTTCATCCTCCATGCTTAGGCTGCTCTCTGGCAGCCCCTAGCTGCAGACCATAAGAGCATCCAGCCATTTTGTTCCTTAGGGCACACTGCACAGGGAGCCTGAGGGAACCAGTATGTTTGCAGCAACCCACCAGGGCCTGTGTGCTGCCGTGGCATGAACCACACATGCTCCTGGTGCTGGTGCATCGCAGCGCTGGTCATGGCAGGAGCACAGCGATGGCAAGTGGAGAGCTTCTGCAGATGCCACTGGCGCTGTCAGCAGCAGGGGAGATGGGGTAGTGAGCACTGACCAGGGGTTGGTGACTACCTGCAGCCACCGCTGGCAGCGGCAGCAGTGAGAAGTGGAGATTTCTGACTGCCTGCAGATGCTGCCAGTGGTGTCGGCAGTGAGCGAGGGAGGGTGGTGAGAGGCCACCACCCACAGGCACCAGCAACAGTGCACCCACATGCACCCCCTACGCATCGCCAATGCACCCTGGATGCAGCCTCTGCCCAACGTGTCCCCTAGCTGGAGCTTCTCCTTGGCCACTAATGAGTGTCGCAAAGGGCTGCAGCCTTTTGCATCCCTTAGCCATCCCTGAGAGTCCCCCCAGAGCTTCTGGCCCTACTCCCTATGGCAGCAGGGCCAGCACCTGCCCCCTGCTGCTCCTCACCCCCAGTTCTCTGTCTTTGTAGGCACTGTGATGAAATGTCTCTACTATGTAGCACCCCATGGCTGGCCATGCCCCTGTCCTGATTGCTGCTGCCAGTCCTCCAGGGCCAGCATTGCAGGGACAACCATGTGGGGGGTCCCAAGAAATGGTACGGGAACCATGGCAAGCAAATCCTCCCCATCTAGCCTCAGTTCCACCCATGTACCCATGCCCATCCCTGTGCCTGGGCCCCCAACTGAACCTGTGAGGACCTCATGGCACTCTGGGGCAGGCTGACATCCAGAGGCAGTTTGTGCGGGGTGGGTGC